GGGCTATAAGGGGCAGATCTCATTTCTGTATGCTTCAGAGACCCCGAGAACTGCGGGGCACTGAGGGCATTACACACGCACGCACGTACACACTCGTCTCAACATTGAGATTACATATGGAAATGAGTTACTATTAAAAAGTCATTGAGGTGGTAATGGTTAATATCAGCTGTCAAAGAAGTCGAGGCAGTGGACACACACACACAAATGTATGATCACAAAGAGGAACGCATGCAGTGCTATGGTTGTGTTATTAATCAGACGTAATAAGGTTTAACTCTCCCTAATTCATGGCCGTTGACCTAATTTCTTTACATGCTGCGTGTGTGTGTGGGTGTGTGTGTCTGTGCATGCACTCGCTTGTGGAGCCACTAATTTGATAAATAATAATATGTCTGGTCAGTGTTTATGGTAATATATTCATGACCCACCAGCAGGCATCCTGTTTGTGTTTGTTAATTCATTTAGCCAGTGTGCGTGTGTGTGTGTGTGTGTGGGCGTGTGTGTTTGTGCGCACACGCACTTGTGTCTAAGGAATTAGTTACTGTAGAAGGCCTGGACGAACTTCAAACACACTCTGTGTGTGTGTGTGTGTGTTAATTAAGTTAGTGAGTGACCCTATAATATATTGTGTTTGTGCATAACTGTATTTAAATTTGCAAATGTAATTGCACGTTGTGGGCATGAATTTGGTCAGTGGCTCTGTAAACATTATCTTATTATGTAAATATTAGTATTTTTATGTAAACATCCGAGATATTTTGTGTAATAAAGCTTTAGACTAATGACTGTGGTTTGTTTACCAAGTGAACAAGCCAAGGAACAGAGAGGCCATGTGCTGCCCATCCCTCTCCCTCTGCACATAGCAACAACAATATGACATACAAACTCTTTGACTCTGGGGACACATTTGTTCAACCCACATCAGGCGAGCTCACGGGTCACTGGTAAAGATCTGTCGCAAAACACTTGAGTTATCCCAGATGTTGCATAATTAAATACACAACAAATTCAAAACCATCTAATTTACAATGTAAAATACTTGTAGTTCAGGTCAATAATTGATGAGGTACAGTACATACTCATGAATATACATACACCTAAATGTGTGGAACCTGTTCAGTAATAAATCTACATGAGAATTCTCTCTCTCAACGAAGAAGCTCTGTGGGCTGCGTGAGTGCAGGTATGCACAAGAAGATGTATTTCAGATGAATCTCTCATGACAGTTAAAGCTACTACTGCAGAAACGAAAAGCTGAAGAGCAACGTAAAGCACTCGCTAATGTCTAGCTACTGGTCAAGAGGGTTGACAGCAAAGCGGAGTTCTGCAACAAACACACACACCAACACAAACACAAACACACACACACACACACACACACACACACACACACACACACACACACACACGCAATGTGGGTCGAGGGGAATCAGGCATAGGGTTTTCTGCAAAGTGACAGATGTGGCGACAGCCATCCAGTCAGGCAACACTCAACAGCTTCTTCAGCTGAAGACCGGGAGTGACATTTACTGAGGCTATGGAGAGAAAAGTGTCAGCGCGCGCACACACACACACAAAGAGCAAAATATACAAACACTTAGTAATATCTTCAGCAGGACAATATTTAATTCAAAAGGGTATTCTGACACATTTCACCTTTAACAAATACTGAGCCTCATGTAAATGAAAACTGTAAGTAGGCCATATGGCAATTTACATCAAATTTGTATTAATTGTGCAGCCCTGTTTCAAACATATTACTGTTTACATATGCAAACTTAGTTTTGCGTTTCTCCATTAACTCAGTTAAGGTTCAACTACAAACTAATGTCAAATTCTTGTAAAATGGCAAAATGTTTCTCAAGATGCATGTACATCAAGTTCAACAAACAAACTACAAAACTGACTCTTTGGTGAAGACATGTTGCAGTAAAGAACCGTTGGGAATCAATAGTTGTTGCTGTCCCAATATTTGATGAGATGATGAATATCGTCACAGAGCAGGAATCACAGAAGCTAAATGCACCACAGCAAGGGGAAAACAGAGAAAAGAGGACAGAGCGGTGCATGCAGAAGACATGTCCTAACATGTACCGGACATGTTCTGTAATGTAACCATCCGTGAAAGTAAGAGTGTGTGTGTGTGTGCATTTACATGTCATGCTGCACAATATGGTTCTTTTTTCCTCCTTGTAGATGGAAACTTTTTCCCCTTTTAACGAGTCTGTCTATTCTATATGACCAAAACCTTTAGAACAAAAGTGTGAGTGTATGTGTGTGTTTCATTTAACAGACCTCACACTTTTTTTTCATGCGTTATATTTGTGTTGAAATTTGTTCATAATCTTTCATTTCCCTTCCTACTAAACTTCAATTTACTATTTTATCTTATTTCTCTAACCCTTTCCTCACCGCTCTACTTCTCTTCTCATTTGTATTGTTCTGTCATCGACTGCAGCCGTGTACTTCCTCTGTTCAGGCTCGTTATTTTTCAGTTTGAGTATTTCTCTGCTCTCCTGTCAATCGTGTCCATCTTGTCAATGTAGTATCATAAACTTTAATCTACCATCCACTGCAAATCATATGCCATAGTCCACACAACATGGTACAGTAAACAAAGGACGTACCATTTCACTTTAAATCAAAGGTGAGGATTAAACAATTAATCATGTTTATCTCAGCTGAATCTTGTGTTGTGGAAATCAACAACTTCTTTGACTTTATGCACCCCGTTCAGACCAATTCCAATGTATGGCATTTACCAAGGCACTCCAGATTTGTACGTTTAGAATTGGAAATAGAGACTTCTTCATCTTCAGCTGAGAACTGGTAAAATATTTTCTTTCTCTTTCACGTCAAAAGCAGAGTAAATCCAGGCTGCAGAGTAGCACATGTAGTAACCTTACACCTGCTTGGTATGGTTGACAATGCCAGCTTCCCACCCACTTATTTTATTTGCATTTTGTGCATGAACAAGCCATCTGATAACACTGCAGACAAAATAAACACAATGAGCACAGACTCATTATTTAGATATCATATTGGATGCAGATCACATTGCAATTCAAATATCACAGGTCTTCAGACAAACTTTTAAACTAGTGCACAGTTTGAAAAGAAGTACACAACTTGAAGCTGCATGAATAAATGTAGCTTCATATTTATCAGATGTAGAATGTAAGTTTTACAAACGAGACTTTTTGCTCATTCACATCTTGTAGTGCAAAACATACATTGATGAACAGTGTCTACTTACAATATTCCCATAAAGCAGTTAATTTCACAAGTTTAACTTGTGTTTAGCACACAATATATAATGAGAGTTAAACGTAAAGGCATGCAGCTGCCTCCATTATTCTTGGTAATAGCGTTGTTGACTTGCCATCATACTGTAACGCTGCCAAATGAATATGATCAGAATGTGCTAAATAAAGCACATCAAATTCCTGAATTGTTTTTTAAGGATGGAGATACAAGACTCAAATAATGCCAATAATAGTGTCCACGAGGAAAAGTCACACGCCCTTTCAAAACGGATCATCTCCAAACTACAACACATCTCATCTCCCACAGTTATTATCATCTCTACAAACATGCAAACACATAAAGGAGATTACATGTGCATTTCAAAGTGCACTGTTATCTAGCTGTGTATGAGATGAATTATTATCTTCAGACTGTTGAGGGACAAAACAAAGGTTGTTTGTCAATGCCAAGTACAACCTGAAGCACAGAGTGAGTTGGGCTGAAACAGTTCGAGGGAACATTTATTAGAGGAGATATTTAGTAGTTTCCAGCATTTGCTAAATATTTCTCTGAGCAAATATCTGTCTGTTAGTGTGTGTTTGTGTGAGGATGTGCGTGTGCATTAGCTGTCCCCCCC